ACGAAATTTGTTAGCCATTGCCGCACAGTGCTTTCTCTAGCACTATTGGGCCCCACACCTGGTTAATTTGTTGAGCTGTTTCGATTGCGGATTGCCCCAATTTATAGTCGAAGAAAAAAATCGTTCTCCCGAAGTGCTCTTTTCACATGCTTGAAAAAATCTTGAAAAAAGGGGGTTTATCAAGCAATGGTGAAACGGCAATTATACCATCAGATAGCGCAAGAAATTCTCTACAGGATGTGCTACTGAGAAGCAAGGCAGAATGAGTTTTTAATCAGCAGTGAATGTACAAAAGTAGGTGCACAAAACGCTGAGAACTTTCCGGACAACCTAATAATATCCCCAGCAACCAGTGCTACCTAGAGGCATCAATCGCGAACATCCTGAAAACTGACAAGACTTAGAGTGAGACTGAGCGTACGTCTTTGGAACGCATGCAGCCTAAACTTGGCGTTAAGCACGGATGGTTGCGCAGGGCTAGCGTCCAGGGCGTTGAGCAAAGATTCCTTGAAGTGTTGTGCGGGTTACTCCCCAACGTAATACGTAATAGATTTCAATGAGTCTCGGCACTGCTGTTGCCAATCGGCATGGTATTTCCCTCGCAAAGTGAATTATAGCACGAGTCTCATAGAAACTATGCCACCCGAAAGCAATATCTGATCTCACTGTTCGAGTTTCTGCCTCATCAGGATTTCTATGAAAACATTTTCAACCATGGGATCTGTATTCAGAGCAGTACCTGGTCTCGTTGGACTGAATTCCATAATTTCGTTACCATGAATTCTTAAAAACTTATTTGCATCTGTATTATACCGTCAGGCACTCTGAGTTTTTTCTGCTTCGAATGACGAACTGAAGTTGAATAGGAGGTCTGAAGTTATGAGCTCTGCCTCTAGGCAAGATTTCTCTTTTTAAAAGTCGTCCATGAGGTCAGCTAGCCGACGCCGAAGAAACAGTAGGTTCATATATTACTGCGAGTTTTTTCTACCATAAAACTCGGTGAGTTGGAAACCCCTCCTGCAGTTAATGAGACCTTCTCATTAGGTGGAAGGAGGGAAGCAACTGAACAGGTGACCCTCGAACAAACCACTGTCCACTAATGGTAAGTGTGAATAGCACCTGCCCAACTGTTCCGCATGGTTGATCAGATTAGAAGACTGAACCTTTCACAATATGATAAAATTATTATGATACCTGCGCCAAAAATCATAATAATACATTCATGCCTGACAAGGGAGGTCTTTCATGTTTATATTTGAAGCAGATTGTAGCATTTTGTAGAGATTCATGCGACAACCACAAAAGTTTAATATTTTTTTCTTGCGCGTGGGATGCTAAGGAAGGACAAAAAAAGCTCCAAGAGTCCACGCAGAACTCAGCGTGAAGTCCTTCTCTTGGCAAATTTATTTGTCATATATGCACATATCAGTACTACTAGTATCTTACCGTCTGCATCAGCACTACAGGCGCTTCAGGAGAGTCCAGAAATCCAGACAAGGCAGGCCGGTGAAGCAGGGCAGGTCCTAGTGATTGGCAAGCTTTTCCTAAAGATCACCCCTTCCACACCCCTCCCCTCCCGCACTCGAAATTGCCTCCTGCGGTACGACATCCTTCCACAACCAATCTTACCAAGCTTTCCAGAAAAACTGACCGGCGAACAGGGCAGGAATAGGCATCTCGGATCGAACTCTCTTGTCAGGAAGCAGTAGTTTGCGACCTGCCACTGTGAAGATACGATTTCCACAGACCAAAAGCGCCCCTCTTGCCTTCAACGGCCGAATACGACCACTGTTTGAGATACCCAACATACGACGTACTATTGAACGGAATCATTAAGTTCCCCCTTGAAAGTAACCTCGTCATCCGGGCAGTTGATTAGGGCGGTCGTCAACGCGTGCCAGGAACTATTTGCTTTTCCAGGCTAATTTAGTCATTTTTTCCACCTTGTGAAGATAAGGAGCTGCTAATCTGGGAAAAAGTAGCCAAAACAGTGAAAAGTTGGAAAAAATGACTAAATTAGCCTGGAAAAAGCAAATAGTTCCTGGCACGCGCTGCGGCCCGTTGACGACCGCCCTAATCAACTGCCCGGATGACGAGGGTATTACTTCCGAATCAAATCGATCAATATACGTCTTGTTACTCATGGCAGTATTGGATCATGCTTTGAAATCCAGCAGTGCCATGAGTAGCAGTACTAAAACCTTGTGAAGTACGCTCCCCTTCTTCGGTCAACCTAAGTTGGGAAGTGGTCAGGTTATTTAATGGTTGAGTGGAATGTAAGACTCACCAGGAAAACAATGTAGCCGTAAGATATAACGCAATTATCAACAATATTAATAACACCTTCTCGTACCCAATTGTCTAGCACATAATTAGCTATACAAAGAACGATTGGTCCTGCCCAAAACCTGAAATTACATACATTTTGGTGCAAGATGGGATCAAGTACTATTCATCCCGTGTTAATGACTCTTCTGCTTGCTTTGAAGAGATTCAAAAGTAAACCGACAAGTTGAGTACCCTAATTTTACATATACAGTAAATTCCTGAGACACCAGCTCACCTTTCGTTCCCACTTATGAACTCAAGCTGGATTTTTCACCGGACAGCGAGGGCGACGGATAATTTGGCCAAAAGTTGTTCCATATGGGTTAACTGATGGGAACTTCACCCTTCACTGCCCAATCATCCGAAGTCTGGCCAGTTCCGATTTTTTTCTGCGCAGACAGAATTGGCTAAAAATTTGTTTACTGGGATAATTGACCTCCTAAACATGAATATCACATCCGCTCGGCACGAAACCTCCTGGCGCCCGCGCCAAAATACCCTAAATCACCAAATTCGCTGAAAACTTGTTCCCAGGGGTAGTTTGACCTCCTGAACACGAATATCACATCCGCTCAACCCGAAACCTCCTGGCGCCCGCACCACAGGGCGCCGGCGCCAAAATACCCCAAATCATTGGCGCCTGTGGCGCGGGCGCCAGGAAGTTTCGGGCTGAGCGAATGTGATATTCGTATTCAGGAGGTCAAACTACCCCAGGAGACAACATTTGAGCCAAATCTGTCCACGGAGAAAAAAGTCGGTCAAAAACTGGCTCAATTCTGGATGATTGAGGGCAGTAAAGGGTAAATAGTGCCGAAATATCACACAATTTTGACTTGAAGACGCTCAGCGCCAGCCATATGTAGCGACGGGCTGTACTGAATGAGATTACATGCTCACAAGGGAACCCTGACTTGATACTGAAGCGAATACCAAAATAGAGTAGTCGCAAGAATGCTGAGCTAGGCGCAAAGTTTGGATCCACGGTGGCTCCTGCGCCTCACGCTCATCCGGGAGTGAGCTATATTGCGCCAAAAGCACCAGAAGCATTGACATAGTACCTTTGTCACGGTTACAGTTACGAACTAAAAACACCACGTCATTTCACCCGATTCGGGCTCCTCGGGATAAGACGTAACTGGAACAGCTAACTTCATTTCAAATTCGAGATGGGCCTCAGCATAAAACTTGGCTATAATAAAGGAGATGTCCCACAAAATCCTTGTCTCATAAACGACTTGCTTACTACTTCGATAGATTTGACAGTGGCTGACTTTGGAAAACTAGTAAGCAGAGTTTCTCGATCATTTCATGCAATCTCCTTTCGACACGCAAAAACGCTAAAACAGTAGAACTATCTCTCACCATGGTGTCAATAGAGTAACAAATGTGAAGTAGAACTTTCTCTTTCCTGGATAAGCTCGTTGAGTGAGGTAGGAATTTGTAGTGAAAAACACCCATGCGACAATTCTCCAACCAGCCAACAAGTAGCCCGGTATTGATTCTGATTGGAAATATACGAGTGCTGGATCGAAACCCTATAAATTCACAGCATCTCATTATAAATGGGACTTTTTAGAGAGTTGAGCACTAAAAAACTTGTAGTACAGTTTTTTGAGCTTCAAGCATCGTTCTTTCAGCACCGTTGCACTGTCGTGGTAAAATTAGAAAGGTATTAGCCTAGGATTTGACAGGAAGTCAGTACCAAATGAACGGTTAGCTGCAGGCTTCCCAAAGGTGAAGGGGTAGATGACGTTTAGATGAAGATTTCCGGGAAATCTCTGGAGCAGGGTACCCTACGGTTAGCATTATTCCCGTAGTCCCAGCATTTCCCAATTTCAAAACAAAATCAGTATCCTGGTCCTTGCCGCGTGTGGGGAAAGTTGGGTCTGCAACTGCGGTAACGTGCCACTTTTCCCGGTATCTCTGAAGAGGAACGGGGCTGAACGCAAACGGCATCCGGTTGCCGTCTCCATACTCCACTCGCGCTGCCGCACGAGCAGCCACACGCCACACCATGACCAGACGCGCTACATGTCTGAGCCCTCTCATTACTGGTTGTTCCCTACTGCTAGTACGTGTTTCGCTGCAGGACCTGAGCACAACGCAAGTTTGGTATCTAGGACGGGTTTAATATCAAGACGACTTCCGGGTACCACTATCCTGCAGCCCCGTTTCCATGCACTTCTGTTGGGATAAAGTGACACGTTGCTGCAGTTCCGGGCCCATTCGCCTCGCACATGGCAAGGACATTCCTCGGAGGGAGTATACAGTTGGTCTTCAACGAGGAGCAAGAGCTCCGATTCGCAGGGTTCTCGGAGATGTTGCTCTCTGAACAGATCCCGTAAACTACCACTTTTCCAAGTGATGCTCGGTAGAGAATGCCCCTGACTTCCTATTCTGAATGTTTTTTCTGATAAAGCCTAAAGGAAAGAATCCCAAAGAAACTAGGTACTGGATGACGTAAAAAGCAATAAAATGTTGCTGTTCAAGAGCACTTCTCGGTGATAAATTGAGGAAGGAATTTGAAAAATAGTTTTTTTTAACAAATTTTGCGTGGTTACAAAGCATCAGTTATGTAATCAATTACGCTCACCTTAATTTCCCAGAACAGCATTCCAATATAAGATGATATGAAAAATGACGCTAAACAGAATAGTGCGATATTGTCAACCTAAATATTATAAATATCACCGCATTTATTTGTAACTCATTTACTTCTGATTTCTCAGACGACCTTTTGCTTTGGAAAGTAGGTTACCACAGTTGATAAAGGCCGTAATCAGTCAGGGCGGTGTCAGAAGGGGCGGGATGAGCGCACCTCCGGCTGCCTTTTTCTACCAATGGTGGTCGGTTAGTGATCGATTCAGGAAGAAAACAACCAGCGGTGGGAGCACCGTGGGCGGACTTAATGGAACCACCCCGACTGATTACGGCGATACCAATTGCATTTGTTATTTCAGTAAGTATAAAGAGCGCCTTTAACACGTCAGCTCAATTCGATCCCTTCCTGATGGTTGCCCATCAGAAAGAGCAATGATTGTACTCCGCAATAAGGGCACATTTCGCAATGAGCGGATAAGTCATGTTCTTTCTCCGTAGAACGAGAACCAGGGCCCGCAATTGTCTCGAGGGTGATAGTTTTTTTCTGCCGCTCAAAATCGGGCGCGCTGCGAGACTGAATAGCTTAAGTGAGGGCTGCTTGAGATTGATATTCGCCTACGCTACCCATATGTCGCCGTGATAACGGACTTCTCAAACTGACTGCAAAGGGGCAAGGTAAGATAGGAAGATCCAAACTGTGGAAGTTGGTCAAAAAAGTTGTCGTCATTATATACCAAGGAGAACTTGCCCCAACACACATCCCCTTCGCTCTGTGCTGTACAAGCAGTACACGAAACAAATAGGGGCCTTATCTAGGAGCTCTCAACGGTTCCCTCTACTTTTTCCTCACAGTCAATGCAACTAGCACATACACTTTCGCTTTTTGGATTCCATCACCTGCAAAAAAAGGCGAAATTACGCGCTTCATTGTTTTAAGCATTCTTGTGGAGCATCAGAGCTACGAATAAGGCTTGTCCACGGACGACATCAAGAAGTTAGGAGGGAAAACAACCCACCTTTGATAATTTCATTTTTGTCACATTTTGTCCTCGACCGAGCAATAGGACCATGAATATGAAGAACATTTGTGCAAACCCCCTGAAATTTTGTATTTAAGAAAAGAGGCAAGAGATTTTTCCCATTTCTCGAAAATGATATGAACTAGCCATGGTCACACCAGGTATTACCGTGCGAAGAGAACCCTTTCTCAGGCGGTCCTCCTGTTACAACAAACTACTTGAGAACCTTATTCAACTACTTTGCGCAGAGGCGATAACATGACCAGTGAGGCTTTGCCGAGGTGCGTTTATGTGCTGTTGAGTACAGTGCGGCAGAGGGACCAGTTCCATCGATCGCGACGGCACCTGAATTCGCCGAACTCAGATAACATTATAGTTAGCGCGACTCACGCCGCGTTTACAGTAAGTAGGTCATGACGCTGTGCGTCCCACGGCACCAAGGTTTCTCCAAGGTTGCAAATGCGTTCGATAAACTTCGCCGAAAGATTACTAGCATTACGTCTATTTTTAATCACAACTCCTCAGGACACGTCGTAACTGCTTTGTCCTGTTCCCTGCGGATAATGGGGCGCGTTAGAACGGCTGCTTTTAGCGCGACGCCAACCGCCTCCCGCTGTTGAAGCGGGTAAGCAGCTGGTGACAAGCGACTGATACGAAAGATATGGTACAGTCTTGACGCTTGTCGCCCCACTGACTGGTGAAAAACGGCTTTGGCGCCGAGCCAAACGCACCGCACTGACGTCTCATCCATCATCTGCAGTAAAAGACTGTGAAGGATACTGTCTGTAGTCTTCGTACGTGCCTTTACATTTTATGGGGCAATAGATTTTGGTGCAATGTTACGGCAGCTTCTCGGCGTACGCAACCACCCATGATCGCAGCTGTGGAAAACAGTGGTCCGTAGGATGTAGTCTGATGCGACTAAATCCATCTGAAAGCTGGAGTAAGCTAGCTAGGATGCGCTGATTGGCGCGCAATAACGCCCCTTGGACCTTGGATATAATGATACACCTGCCTGCAGAATACCATGATCAGTAACGTAGTCTGGTTCGCTGCGGACGCCGAGGCGTTTTGAGTTTGGCACAGCGCCAGCCTGTTCCTCCACCAACGGTGGAAGCAGGCCACTATTGTTGGTGGAATGGGCTGGCGGCGCAACAAACCTGGCCCCCCTCCCTGAAGCGCCTTAGCGTCCACAGCTGAGGCTGTATCAGAAACGTGTCGATTGATCATTCAGTTATTAACCTCTCGTTGGAGGATCGCTTGTAGAGGAGCTACTGGTATCCTTTCAGCCTCATTCAGCTTACTTCATTCATCAGCGGTTTGCTCCATGAGTCATAAGGCAAGCGTGTTTGAGACGATGCGCAACAACTGCAGTACTTCCCAGATGTCCCATTTCCGAGCTGTCGATGCAGCGCTCCCCCTCTAATACAGTTAGGTACTGATGCAAATCTTGCTCACGTGAGCATGCAACACCTTTTGAGTCGCGTCCTCGCAGGTTGGACGAGAATGTCCCAACCGTTCTTTGCATTATTTACAATTAGATTACTGTTGCACTTTTCTTATGAAAATGAAAGCACAGTATCCGCATCTCGATTAGTCTAAGCCTACAAATGTTCCCTCTGTTTGTAATTCAGCGGGCAAATTCAACTGATTAATGCATCGGTGAATTCAATTCAATTGCTTGCGTAGCCTTGTGAACCTAGTAGATTTCAATAATTGCATCACATGTACTTTGAATCGTATGTAATTTAGTAGCTCAATTAAAGACTTAGTCAATTATTCGAGAAAAAAAATGAAGGAAGTGGCAATTGTTACTCTTTAATAATCTAATTACAGCCATTTGTGGAAGACTAAATTATCGGTGACGATGAATTTAACTTGCTAAACCTAATTTTGAAAAATTGGAAAATAGCTGGAAACGACTAATTGAACCGAATGTAATAGCATATACGTGAAAAGCATACCGAAATAACTGTGCCATCAGTTTCAAAAATGGAAATCCAATTCCATCAAGTGCATATGCACCATAGGTGATTACCATCATTGATAACCCACAAACGTCCAGAAGTATTGATTGGGTGGAGATACGGTAAGTATTGTGGTAGAGACGACGAAAGCTCAGTTGACCTAAATTGATAATATCCGGTATTCTTACATAGCACTCATGGGACCGAGTAGTGGTAAGGCAATGGCTGCGGATGCTATATAGACCATATCCCAGAAATGGACGAGGCGTTACCGTGTAATTCGTGGTAGCGGCCCTCTGTGGGATATTGCCTTTAGTGCAGGTGTAATCATGTCTTTGTCCAGCAGAAGACGGAACGAAAACCTTTCAAATGGCAAAATCCCTCGAAAAACATGTCCTAAATCAAATTCTGTAGCCACACCCTCCCTAGGATATGGTGAGTACACGCTAGCACATCCCCGTTGTCGACTGTTCCCCTGATGGAGTTGGCGTAGTGGAACGTGGCGCCGCGTGCTATGTGCGCAGTCCAGGGATCTGCCATCCAATTCTAAATGAAATTAAAGTTTTTGGTGGGATTGATCAACGGCAGTAGCTCAAACTTTCTCTCAGCGAGAGAGCCTTTGGTGTCTCTTGAGCTCGGTAATTGAACCCGAACTCGGGAAAGGCATCGAACTAATTGACTACTGTCCAGCGGACAATATGTAGTATGCGGCGTACCAGTGAACTCGAATGTGCCTACACTGCCTCTGTAATTGGAAGCGCAATTTGTGCTGGAAGGAATCTATTTTCTTAACCACTGAACTTGTTTTTGCTGAAGTTTCAATTTTCGGGAATCAGTAATCACACGAATTACAGCAACAAATTATGAGGTGAAGAAGTGTGAGGGATTCGGCGCACGTTCGGCACCGTTGCTCGGGGAACAGAGGGTAATGTTCTGCGACCAGGGTACATCATTGTTGGGGATTCCCTATTAGGGGAGGGGGTCGTATTTAAGCTGATAAAATTTTTTCGCTAGTCGATTTTTCTTGCTCCAGGAACGTTGTAAGGGGGAGGGGTCGTATCAAGTCGCTGAGTTTCCCTGATTCAACGAGTTTGCTATGTTTGTTTCGGCTTATTTTATTCCCTTGGAATCACGACGAACAAATGCGATATAGCTTCCGGCTTTTGGCAATCACTTTTGAGGATATGCCACGCTTCCTGCTCCTGTTCAGAGCCGTAGTGGCATTTTGAAGGCGATTTCGTCCATACGTTGAACTCAGAGGGCTAGCACATGCGCAAATTAGTGTTTTTGTCCTCCCAGACAGACGCAGACATAATTTTTTAGCCCTGGAGGAGTAGTGGGCTCGGATGAGCTATGTGAAAGCAATCAGTTGTTCGGCACCCGGACAGAACGCGCAGTAATATGTGTAGGCCGTACGCCACTCTCCTCTACACCACCTCCGCTCTGAGAAAAATTCGTGAAAACCAGAAAAGGAACTTACATCCAATAATGTAATTGACGGTGAGTAGCCCGCATTGTATTAGTAGAAAGAACACATCTGTCGGCAATATCACTGAAACAGTTAAGGTTCATTTTCTATGCTATGCGTCTCGCCCCCTTCACCTTCCTTCCCTCATGACTTATAGTCTCCGAAACATAATTCTTATAGTAGTTGAATTGTAATCGATCATGTTATATTAGAAATAGGAGAAAAAACTTAATTCGTCACATCAGAACCTCTGATTAACTGACCCAGAGCGCGTTCACACGTTCGCGATCCGATGGGTCACGAGTAGATCACGTGACGGGATCTCTCGAGCTTCTGGAATGCGCGATTAGATCGCGAAGTATGAACGCGCTATTAGCGGTCTCTGAGCTTCCCTTGTAATCCTAGGTAATTTCAGACATGGACTTTTGCTTATACGATGTTTTTCGCCAAGACATTTTTCAGCCTCTGTACTTGCTTCTCTGTTTTGGTTATACCTTGTTATTGTTTTCTGACCCTTACTGCATCGACTCATTTCGGTATGCGACTACACTGTATCTGGCGGTAAGGGTAAAAACAGCTAAACTGTGATCGATCCCTAGAACCTGCACGTAGTTCTTCAACTTCCGGGAAATAGAACAATGGCAGTCACTTTCAAAGACAGATTGCCTTCACCGTTCATTGTTACAGTTTGGTTTTGTGAAAAGGTAAAGATGAATAATGATGATTTCCGTGATTGCAAGCGTGCTATTCATTTGCAAAATGGGCAACTGTGATAAAAGGCTATCATAACTTCGAATGCTCAATTCGAAATGTCGAAACGTTAGGCCGAAAAAAGGTTTCATCTAATAACCTCGTTTGGCAGAAGTAATCAAACATTCGACATCATGCCCAGGGAAGGGAAACGAGGAGCTATCATAACTGACAACCTGCGTTGGCCTTTAGTCCATCGAATAGATTCGCATCGATAAGGTTATTTTAGACTACAGTGATTCCGTACTTCATTGCTAGAACCACGGGATGCTGAACTAGCGAAGACGGCGCATGAACTCAAATGAGCTGTTCCAGAACATCCGCGCCGCCCGGCTTCTCCTAAATAAATGTCGCTCTGGTGATTGGTCTGGCTCCTTGCCAGGGCGTCTTGAGAGTTACTGAAAAACCCTCGCCTCGGCATGTACAGTCGTCATGCGGGCACTTGATCAGACAAGGGGAACATCATTGGTGGGGATTTTAGTCGAGTCCGTACGACCC